TATTATTTGTCACAAGGTAATTTCTGTAGGTTTTAAGTCCAGTGTTTGTGATCCCCAATACTTTTCTCTTTACTGTGGTACGCAATACAAATTTAGATCATGAGGGCACGATGGGCATTTTAAAAAATACAGTGGCAATTGCTGCCATGAATTTTCTGCCCTGGTAGTAGTTATTAATATTAGTGTGCTATGTGTAATATTTGTACAATAGAGTCGTGTTATTCATGATCAACACTGTGCAAGTACATGAGATAAGATAGGAGCGTGATACAACATCTGGAAAAAAATTAGTCCTGCTCGTACTTCTGTCTTATCTTGTGGTCAGTGAGGGTCACCCAGCTGTCTCCCCTCCTCACTCCACCAGGCCTACATGGAGGTCATTGTACGACTTTTTGGTGTTTATTCTTTACTTTTGCATGCTATAATATGATCTCATAGAGTAAAAAACAAAAGAAAAATAACTTTTGCACATGGGTTGGGGGTTTCCACCCCACCTTAACAATGAAACGATTAAATATATTTATTCTGAAACTTAAATAAATCAACTAACTTGATTTTGTGCTTATATATATCTATAACATCAGCTTTGTGGCTATCAGTTAATACAAGAATAGATGACATGGATAATGTTTCTCTCTGGGTTAATATACATATATATATATATATATATATATATGTTTGCGTGTGTGTGAATGTCAACAAGAGACCTTTTGGTCCATTTAGGCCACCCTATTCATTAAATTAAACGACTCAAAAAAAAATATCAAACCAATTCTTATAATTAAAATATTTATTAAACTTTCTCTTAAACAGTATCTACCCCACCTGATGGAGCCCATTACCAAGGCCAACTACCCCACAAATTTATACTTGTGTTCCCTAATCTTATCTTTCTCACCTCACCATTAAAAACAAAAAGCTGATGCATCAACACTACAAGTTCCCTTAACAATCTTAAACACTTCAATCAGATACCCTCTAACTCTTCTTTTTCCAAGAGAAAACAAATTCACGTATCTTCACTTATCCTTGTATGACAACCTTTCCACCCCACGTATCATCCTAGTAGTACTCCTCTGAACCCTTTCCAACAATTCAATGCGTTTTCTAGGGTAAGGAGCCTAAGACTGAACACATTATTTCAAATGTGACCTATAGAATAACCTCTAGATTTGAATAGATATAATCTAAGCTCCTATTTGCCCCGCCACTAGCAACAGTACATTACTTAGATGGCTTGAGAGACTAATGAACCAGAAACCAAGATCTTTTTCTTACATTATCTTGTTAAAGTTATTCCCATCAAAAATTACACTTATAATCCAAACTGTGATATCCCACTGCAATCTGCAATTTATTAACCCAACTCACTAAACGATGTAAAGCAATAGCAACATCCTTGCAGCCAGCAACACTCAAAACTTTAAATAATCTATTGACAATTCTTTCATCTGTTTCACCTTAATATCATCTGCAAATTTAAGTAATTTATTGACTATTCCTTCATCTATGTCATTGATGTAAATCAAAAATGGCAAAGGTCCTAAGACTGAGCCCTGAGGTACTGCAATTGTAACATTAATCCAGTTTAACTGAACTCTATTTATAAAAATCACCTGCTTTCTTCCATCCAACCAGTTTTCTATCAAATAAGCTAACCTATCCCCCACATCTGCAGAATTAACTTTTTAACAAACTTTTAATATAGCATCTTGTTAAATGTTTTCTAAGTATCTAGATCCACACTTGTGCCTTTATTTACATAACCAGTAACATCTTCAAAAAGTGTCAAAAGATTAGTTAGGCAAGATTTTGCTCTAGTGGACCTGTTCTGACTGTCCAACAAAATTTTAAACTTTGCAAAGCATTTTTTAGCAGACTTTCAAAAACCTTTCCCACTACTGATTTAAGCCTAATAGGTCTATAACTACTTTTACTAAAAAGTTTATATATAAAGTTTTACTGAAAACATTTGGTATTATAGTTAAGCTATCAATTTATGTTAATAAACTTGGCACCAAAATGTAGTTAATAAGTCAAATTTTATAAGTTGTAATTTTCTAACTTAGAAAGAAAATATTTAAACTCTCAATTTTCACTTCTATCATGTGAAACTTGCTCACTCCAAATTCCCTATTTAAACATTCTTTTTATCCCTTAATTTTAATACAAATTACAGACTTATAGCTTAGATATTGTCGGATGTAATCTAAATTTATAACCTCCAATCATCTTGATTTAGAGCGAGATAAAATAGAAACCCACATGCCACACCCTTCTGTCAATAACATACTATTTTTCAAAAAATGTCAGTAAATCTGACATTTTTAATTTATAACCAAAAAATATAGTCAAGATTATAATTTACTGAATTATGTATAATGCTTGCTTGCTGTGATGAATGCTTTTGAATTATTCAGCCTAGAGATTCAAAATTGCTATTGCTAAGTTCACCTTGAACATAGTAAGGGAATTGTTTTAACAAATGTATAGCTTATTTAGAAAGCCAGTTAAATTAAAATAGTTGTAGGACATTGTATTTTTTGTGTTCTAAATTGAATATTTGAAATAAATAATAATTCATTAAAAGATTAACAACTGTATCAAAAAATCGGGTTAACTTTTGTTGAGACTTCATGTACTAAAAAAAAAACACTCACGTGTGAGAACTGAATGTCTTGTTTTTCATGTATAATTTGTTAATTCATTGTTATAAAAGTAATTAAAATATAAAAGTAATAACTTATTAGGTTAGATAAGGAAACACGGATTTACAAAAAAATAATAAAAATATTTCTCAGGTATGCATCGAAGCTGCATATGCATTATGTAATTCAATATTTTGTTTACCATAACTTCAGCTATTCACCCTCTTGGGGATTTCGTGTTTTGGTAGACCTGTTTAGTAGGGAGATACATTTAAAAAATAATAAAATAAAATCAAAACGGAGATAAACTGTTAAAAGCATGAGGGGCTGTTTAAGACCATTATAATTTTCTGTTACAATCTGCAGTCATCCTAGAAAGGGAAAAGAAGAATTTAGATTTATTTTGCAATGGTTAAAAGGATAACTAAACTGACCGAGTACTTACAGTCTTAAGGTATGCGGTTATAATTTTTCTGAAAACTTTTGATATTCATTTAACCCTTTCTGTGATTTGTCTGAAATATCTTAGGCACCCTCTATGCTTCAAATAATATTTTTCGAGTTAATTCAAGTAAACCATTTCTCATCGTATTAATTATTTGACCAAATTTGTTCGCATGTTATCGTGTATTACAATCAGTGCTCACTAGATGGCATTGGAAATACTTGTGCTGACCTTAATTGTATTTATCAGTTTCATGGAGTCATTTTCTATTCACTTGAACATGCATAGTTTTTAATGTAGAAAATATTACTCTTTTAATATTCTTTTATTACTTGAGCATGTGCATTAGTGACTTTGCAGAGGTAAACAAAAGAACAAATTACTGATCTATGAATTTTTTTTCAGTTTCTTTAGACATTCATTTTGCCTTAAAGCTATGAAACTTTCTATGAAAAGACATCAGATAAGCTTTGTTAATTTGGCAAGTAAGGGAAGAATTAACCTTTCAAAAATAAAATTCTTATTTATTAATTATATTCGATTTCAAACAGTGCCCACAAATAAGAGCTTATTTAGATACAAGATGATCTTGACAAAAAATACTGTTACCTAGCTTCATAAAGGTAATGGTGAAAGGCCAGTTTTTGCCATGTTTTACAAGATTTATAACCAAAAGTACTGACCAAATAAATATGTTAATGAATGTCAGTCAAGTTCAAACTGATTTTATGTATAGCATTGAACGAAATGGTCAATGATAGAAAAGTAAAAGGAAAGTATTTTTTGTGTTGTTGCAAAAGAGTGTCTGAACAAAACTTAAATTGGGTGAAGCATTTTTAAAGACAAAATTAGTTGCTAATTCATAAGTTTTGTACAATTTGCTTAAGTACTTTCATTGTAGGAACGAAAAAAATCAAAGGAAATCAATGACTCACTGGTGCAGAAAGGGTTAATATTTAAACACAAGTACAGCAGATATAATTCATTCATCATCATATATGCAAGCATAAGTACTAAGAAGAAGTGTGTAAGTTAGTGCAGGTTATGAAACTGAACAAGTTTCTTCCACTGTGCTGATGATTTAACTTCTTTTAGCCACACCCGTCATCATATGGTGACCACATAATGTTGCTATTCAAAAACGTTTAATTTTTAAGAGAAAACAGACCAAAAGTGGAATCAAATTGCTTCAGTGTTTTCACACTTGAAGAAGCAATTGAATATAAGTAAGCTGAATATAATTCTGGCTCTGAACATGAATTGCGTGATATGACTGAAGAAAGGGTTAACTCTCAAACCATTGGTTTCTGTTGTAGTACCACAAAACTTCCATACCTGGACAATTGAGGAATCTTGTTTAGTACTCAATATTTTCAGTCTACTTAGAAATTTAATGATTTATATATAAACACATATTTGCCCTATTCCTGTTAAAAATTATGTGCAGAATTTTAAACGATTCTTTAACTTATATATAAGCATCTCATATACTAAACTTTTACACCAATAAACCTTTTTTTTTCTCTCTCTCAGTGATTAGCATAATTATAACAAATACACAGCATGTTTATAAAATAACTATTCTAGTGAAACACACACATACAACTCCAACAGACTTTGTCCATTTATGCAGCTATATATATTTGTGAATACCGAGAAAAACCTGTAGATCTTACGGAATGCAAGTTTTCACAGACAATGTGGATTAATCTGAATTCAAAACTGAGTCATAGTGGAAGTTAAAAACCCATTGTTATAAAAGTTCTGAATCAGTAACACACACAATGCTCACAAGAAGTCATTTTCATATGTCATGTACAATGCCTCTTGGATCTAGCTCAGACTTTTGCCAAGATAGTCAGCCACTTAATACAAGTTGATATAAAAAAAAAAAGATTCAATTCAAATAAATGAAAATTATCTTTTTACTTACAATATCTGCATTGTACATTAATATAATAGTATGTTCAGGATATTCTTTGTTTAGGAGATAAAATTTGTTTGAAACCAGGCGAAATGCCATAGGACATGAGTTCTGAAAGACTGGAAGGTGTCACACCCACAGCTGTGCTTGAAGGACTAATATTTTCTGTAAGAAAGTCATCTTCTTCCTAAATAAAAGAAAATACACAATTGACTATGAAAAGTCTAACAAATAGACACTAAGAACTGTTAAACCGTGTATTAAAGTGATTTAAGCTTTAAACAAATTCCAAACTGTTGTCTTTGCACTGTGATATTTTTATCCACTTTGGAAAATGTACTTTTAATCTCATGAATGATTCATCTAAGGAAAAATATTTTATAAAATAAAACAAATGACTGTCTGCTGAAATTATAATCTCTTACCTCATGTTCAGACTGATTTTCCTCAACCTGACCATCATACACCCGAAATAAGGAAGTAATCCATTTTCTGGACCTGTAATTCATACATCACAGGGAATAAAAATTGTTATATATATATATCTAAATTGAAATCTTAAGTCTAATAATTGGATACACACAGATATTTTAAATGTGTATGCAGAAGTTTCTGAGGAATGAAGAACAATAAGTGATAATATTTTGTTTTCATCTCAAATTTTATAGGTCATTGTTGATAACATAGGATACTGTTATATGATTCGTGAAATTTGAAATCATGAGTACAGTTTTGTTTACTGTTTAAAAGTTAAGTTACTTCATCTAATCTTATAAATGACCAAGGATTAATATGTTAGAATGACCAAAATGCTTTAACATTTTAACTGACTACTTTATCATACACATTTAGTTTCCACATCTAGTCTGTTTTGTCCTTTACTACCCTTAGTGATTTACATCACATTTTCCAAGTTATTTATCTGTAGAAAAAGAATTTGTTATTTATGTCTGATGCCCCCCTTTTTAAACAATTTAGTTTCATCGTTAATCCTTAAAAATTATACTGTATAATATTTAATCTTTCAAAATATGTCTTACTGTGACATTTTATATGTTTAGGACCAAGTAATCGAGTTGGGCTCAAAGGTAGTTGTCAATACTTATCTGTTGAACCCAAATGTAGAAGAAAAATCTGTGTATTATTTGTAGTATCTAATATAGTACAGACTCAATTTCCAACACTAGTAGGGATGAGTTACGTGAAAACTAATGTATTCAGATTTCATGACTGAACACAATGTTCAACAAAGCAGATTTTAACTTATGTTCAAATAATTTTACAATAATACTAAAATATAAATATATAATACTTAAAGAGTATGTTTAAAGCTAGTATATATTTTTCAAAAATTAATAAAATTCATTCCATTACTAATAAAGTAACTAAATTCTCATTATCTAAAAATCTATACAGAATTGAAACATTAACAAAATACATACACAAGTTTTCTTATTCTGAAATATTTACCCAAAATGCAATGATAAACTAAGTGTATCCATACCTCTTCAATAAATATGGGTCAAATGGAAAAAACGTTTCCATCTTGGAAAAAGAAACTGATTGTGTGATTCCAGATACCTGACTGGCAGCTACAGGGATGAGACTTCGGTTGTTTCTTTCAATGATAGTATAACAGTAAACAAGCTGGTAGTTCCTTGCAACATTCGCAAAGTTTCTCACAACTGCTGACATACAGACTTTTAGGGGGTTTAGGCGACAAGTGACGATTCTTTCTAGATTCAAACCTCGCAGGTATTTCAACCCTAATAACAATGTTAAGAAAATTATTAAAAGTATTGTTCTTCAGCAGACTTTTATAATGAAACAATGAATTAAGCTTTTAATAATCTTACAACTGGGTGACTGATTGTTTTACTTGCTATAAATCAGCAAAATGAGCTTGCTTATCCCACGACAAAAATGTAACTTAAAAAAAAATCCCAGAAGTTAGAGAATTGTATTAAGGTACATAAACTAGAAGTACTTCTGCAGTACTAAAATCAAAATTAAGAGTAACAAATATTTTATTTCTTGCTTTAGAAGTTTGTATGTGCTGCTTTGTTGTAGCTTACAGAATGAATAATTCTTCTTGTGATTCATGGCAGGTGCACATTTTACTGTCGCAACAGTACAAATTGCAATGTTAAGCATTCCTTATGTGACATCATTTTAGTGTCTACTGACTGACTGACAGACAGTACATTACTGTCTAGTGGTGCAAACGGTTAAAACAGTAAAAATTTAATGTTTCAAAAGAAATGTGTAATTGAATTATGATCACTCACAATATATATAAGTTTACAAAGTCCATAAATAACAAATAAATTCCTCTAAAAACATTATATAAAGAAAGGTGTATAAACGAACGAGTTAAAAGGTAATATAAACATAAGGACTACTTGAAGAACATGATTTTTCACCATTAACATAAGTAACCACTGCCAGAAAAATAAATTGGATCATTAAACAATGATAATGATGTTCTTACATTACTCTCTGTAAGAGAATAAAAAAAAAAATCATGACCACAATAATTTTTACAATACCATTTTTCATCTCAATCAATTCCTTGTGTCTGAAGGCAAAAACATAAAAAATAGCTTGGCAGACAGCGTAGAAAGTGCCATGGAGACATGTGTCAACAATCAGACGAGAACTACCAGTTAAATTCTCTATGTAACTGTGGATCCAACCACACATAAGATCGAAGCATGCTGTGACAGTGCTGTGAAAACAGAAAATGCATGTATAAGTACAATTCATGCACACAGCCCTGTATGACATACTATTGCAGGTGAAAATATTTAAATCAGTTTTACTTAAAATAGCAGTTAACAAGAACTAAAAACATCATAATTAGTACAAATGGATTGACAAAGAATGTCGCTAATAAAAATAATGTTAGTGGATATTGTAAGAAGGAAATGATAACTGTAGAAGAAGAATAAAATCTAGCTGGAGAGCATTTAGAACATCATAGTTTATTTTATGTGAAAAAAATAGCCAACACATCTTTGAACCAAAGTATAATACCAGCAATGACAATTGTGGATTTACAAAGGGAATGATGGCAAAGTTATAGATAACTCAAAGTGATATAAAAAAAAATGCTAGGAATAAGAAGGCTGGATAGAAAAAGATATGACTGGATCATGGACAGAACGGAAGTTAAAGATGGTAACAGAAAAAAACTTTTGTTTTAGAAATTTATGCAAAGCAATACAAGAGCTATCCATCCTTTATTCTGAACTGATAGACTAGAAGGAAGACAGCCACCAACTTTTGGACTACTCTAATTGAATAGACACGCAACCTCAAAGTGGAGAGAGCATCTTGCAGCAACAGGATGCAAACCACAGACCCTCAAATTTAGAGTCTGACAAGCTAACCATTAGGCCACACCCAGCCTCCCCCCCAAAAAACATTACTGGGGGGAATCAAGACATATTACCTAGATGATAACAAATAGATGAGGACAGAAGGCAACACCACTGCAGCCTATTGATACGTAAAGAGAAAGAGTAAAATAAGACAGATATAGGTTTGTAAACTATTAAAAATTTAGAAGTGACATGGTCAGACAGCTGCAGGATAGAGAACAGTGGAACGAAATTCAAATTGAGGCCACTGCCACACTAAGGAAAGATAATGACTGAAGAAGAAGAAGAAAAATACTGGATTATAATTCTAACTTATTCCTTTCCTCTTAAGTGAAAAGATGAAGCAGACACAAAGTTTTATTAAGAGTACTCGCATTTGAATTAATGATATACAATGCTTATATACAAATGATATACAATTTCTTTATCACTCAAAATTTTGCCAAGAATTTATATTTTGTTATTACTTTATGATAAAATCCAAATTCAAAGTAACTAAAGAGCTTATTTTTTGCCATAAAAACAAGCCCTACAGCAAATACGACTTGTATGTATATGTAGGTAATATCAAGTGGTATAACTGGAAATACAAAATTCATCACAGACAACCTTTAATGACAAATAATGAATTAGTTAATAAAATCAAAATATTCAAAAGTTTTTATATTGTCCAAAAAAAAACCCTTTCTACCTTAAGACAATCTACCTGTTAAACAAGTAAATAACTTGAATATTCCTTTGTTTTTGAAATGTGTGCAAAGCCACACAAGAGCTATATGTACTAGCTTTCTTTACTTTTGAGCTGACAGATTAAAGGAAAGACAGCTTTCTCTATACGAGTTGAGATATTATGTTCTGACACGGGCAATACTTAAGTTCTGAGCTTTCCCAGGAATATACAGCTAGTGTGACTGTGCCACCTCATGCTTGTTTGTTATCCAGCTAGTGTGACTGTGCCGCCTCATGCTTGTTTGTTATCCAGCTAGTGTGACTGTGCCACCTCATGCTTGTTTGTTATCCAGCTAGTTTGACTGTGCTGCCTCATGCTTGTTTGTTATCCAGATAGTTTGACTGTGCCGCCTCATGCTTGTTTGTTATCCAGCTAGTTTGACTGTGCCGCCTCATGCTTGTTTGTTATCCAGCTAGTTTGACTGTGCCGCCTCATGCTTGTTTGTTATCCAGCTAGTTTGACTGTGCCATCTCATCATTGTTTGTATCCAGCTACTTTTTTTATATTACCTTAAGCTTCATTGCTGCTGATCTGGTTTGACTTTCAAATTTCTATATTTTTCAGTCTCTCTCTCTCTCTCCAGCCATTACTAGGACATGTAAAAAAAATATTTTAATTTGAGTAGCATCCATTTTGCCATAGATATATATATAATTTGCCAAGAAATTTATTAATGTCCAGAATGTATACAGGATTTGTAATTTAATTTAATAAAAAAATTTGAAATTAAAATTGGAGAAAAATTAGCATAAAGGACTTAAATGCTTTAAACATTTATTTTAAGTTATATTATCTGTAAGTTTTCTTGTTATATTCTGTTTTGTAGGATTCCTCTATAGTTCATTCTGTAAAAGTTGATGATAGATTGTTTCTTGTAGTTGTACCAGGATTGCTTCGACCAGTAACCAATTCAACCATGACATTAAGGACTGCTGTTCCAAGTCAGAATGGAAGCGTCCAGACAATGGTGGTGTCTAGCCCCACTGTATCACAGAAGACAGTTCCAGAAACAGTGTCTTATGTGTCTAGTCCTGGAAGAACTCTAAGCACAGTTAACCCTACTTTTACCAGTGGCACTGTAGTAATATCTTGTGTGTCCAAGGTATGTGTTTACTTAAGTCAATACCCATCAAACAGAATTTAGCATTGTCCTCTATAACAGTGTTCAATAAAGAAAAAAATGTTTCATACTACAAAACCCACCTAGCACTGGATTCATTCTGTTAACAACATACTAGCAAAAATAACCTCCACTTTGCAGCTGAGGGCACTGATCCTGATTGGTTTGGAGTATGGTTTCAGAACCTGTTGCTGTCGTATATGTTTTGTTGTGTGAGTTTTTATGCTTTTACCAAGAACATTTAAGACCCACTTCTCTGACTTGTTGCCCTTTGACTCTACATTTAACATCTCATTATATAAATATTTTTCTATGGAAATTGTAGGCATATTTTCCAATATTTCACCAGCTTTTGGTGCATAAACCAAAAACTTTTAAGATACCCTTATAGCCAGCAATATCTCATGTTTTTTTTTATAAAGGTTAATACCAACGTTAAATTTTAAAAAAATCTATATGATTTTTTCTCTCACATGAACTGTAAAATATAACACAACAGAAATTTGCAGGTTTGGAATTTTGTTTTTTAATAAAATAGTAAAATCTAAACTGTTAACCCTAACTTTGACTTTTATCCACAGTCATAATTTTTATTTTTAAGAGTAGAAATATTTTAACTTGTGTCAACATGCAAATTTGCTTTGCATCTAGGAGCCAGCCCCAAAATTAATCTTATATTACACCATGAAGTCATTCTAGAAAGATAAAAAGGGTGATTTGGATTTTACTCTTTTTTTTTTTTGGTGGTTATGAGGTCAGTCAATTTGATCAACCTTCTATAAGGTTAGGGTAGTGTAAATAACAAATACAAAATTTTACCCAAAAAAAAGTTTGAAATTTATTTAGGAAGTTTTAGAGATTATACAAATAAAATTTGTGAGGCGAGGAAAGAGTATTTTTAATCTTAACATGAAAAATCCTTTAATACTTGGAAATACTATATATATTCGTGGACAAATCTCTAGTAAAAATACTTCATTAAAAATATGATTTTTCACATACAAAAGGCTTGTAATGTTTACTAAATGTCTGCCAAGTTTTGTGAAAATAATTTACTGTATTAAAAGTTATAGTATGAAAACTATAACAAGCACAGCAGGGTTATGAGGTCGGTCTATTACGTGTTTAGTATGTAACATGGATAAGCACACAAGTCAATCACTGATCCAATGTAAGAGATTGTTGAGCCAGGATTTTCAAAATAACAAAAACAGCTATGAACTAAGAATAATAATTACTGTCAAATACACTAGGTACCACAATGAAATTCTAGGCTACCTGTCGCCCAGGATTTGTCAAGCCCCGATATAAGCAATATATTTATCCAGGTGTGGCAAATTGATAACCAGTTTAATACTTGAATTTTGAAAATAAGCATGCATTAACAAAGAGATACTCTTGAATCTTACAATTTGAAGAGAAGTGGTGAAATCTAATGATTATTAATGAAAGAGGCTTCAAATTTAAAATTATCAAACTTGTAATTACTCTTCAGCTCAACTCACTATGATGGTAAGAATATTATGTTCTTAGACGTTTTGGGCAATACTTAAGTTCTGAGCTTTCCCAAGAATATACTCTCTTTATATGAGTTGAGATATTATGTTCTGAGACTTTTTGGATAACAAACAAGCATGAGGCGGCACAGTCAAACTAGCTGGATAACAAATAAGCATGAGGCGACACAGTCAAACTAGCTGGATAACAAACAAGCATGAGATGACTCATTTAAACTAGCTAGATAACAAACAATCATGAGATGG